TTGCACTGACTCCTGGGCAACATTTCCCACCCTCAGAATCCCCTTTAATACCTAAGTCTCCAAGGGAGTAATTGGATCTGTAACTTAAATTACCTTGCCATTATATTAGAGCAGGTATGGAGAAACCCAGGCCTGGGGGGTCACGTGTTGCCCCTTGGGCTCTTTTCTCAGGCCCTTCTCTCTCACACCATCCTATCCAATCTTTCCTTCCTTCTCTCTTTCCTGCCTCCTTACCTCCCTCTTTCTCCTTCCCTTCCACCCTTTCATCCTTCCTTCCCACAATTTCTCTCTCTTTCTCCTTCCATCCTTCTCTTTTGTCTTTCCTTCCTTCTCTCTTTCCTTTAACTTTCCCTTCCTTCGATCAATCCTTCTCTTCATCCCTTACTTCCTTCTTTCCCTTTTGTCTTTCCTTCCCTCTTTCCTCCCTCCTTGTCTCTCTCCCTCTTTTACCTTCCATCCTTCCTTCCCTCTTCCCTTCCTTTCTCCTTCCTTCCTTCCCTTTTGCCTTTCCTCCCTTCTCTTTTTCCTTTAACCTTCCCTTCCTTCCATCTATCCTTCTCTTCACTCCTTCCTTCCCCGTTTCTTTCCTTTGCTCTTTCCTCCTTCCTTCTCTCCCTCCCTCTTTCTCCTTCCATCCTTCCTTCTTCCCTCCCTGTCTCCTTCCTTCCTTCCTTCCTTCCTTCCTTCCTTCCTTCCTTCCTTCCTTCCTTCCTTCCTTCCTTCCCTCCTGTCTTTCCTTCCTTCTTATCTTTCCTTTAACCTTCCCTCCCATTCACCCACCCTTCTCTTCATTCCATTCTTTCTTCCTTCCTTCCCTTTTGTCTTTCCTTCCTTCTCTCTCCCTCTTTCTCCTTCCATCCTTCCTTCTTCCCTCCCTTTCTCCTTCCTTCCTTCCTTCCTTCTATCTTTCCTTTAACCTTCCCTCCCATTCACCCATCTTTCTCTTCATTCCATTCTTCCTTCCTTCCCTTTTGTCTTTCCTTCCTTCTTTCCTCTCTCTCCTTCCCTCTCTCCCTCTTTCTCCTTCCATCATTCCCTTCCTTCCTTTCAGCCTTCCTCCCTTCTCTCTTTCTCTCCTCCTTCCCTTCTTTCCTTCCATCACTGGGCAGCTAGTCCTCCTAGCAGGGAGTGCTAGCATGCAGCCCCCAAGTTAGAAAGTTTGCCCATGCCTGTGCTAGAGCCTGGAAAAGTTCCTCTTTTGGGCTATAGGTCCTAATTCCCTCAGCCAGAATGGCCAGCATTGCTACCGATAAAGGATTCATGCCCAAGCTTTAAGAGCAGCTGGGGAACGATGTGAAATAAATGTTCAAAGCACTCTCCTCCCCACAACTCCCAGTTGCTTTTGAATGTACACATTAATTGCTTGCATGCTGCTCTAGCACTGAATTGTGTTCTTTATGCAGTTTCCCCAGACTAACTGAATAATTAGTTATTGCTTTGACTGTGCTTTTAACAGGATACCTTTTTACTATTCTGTATTTGGACAGAAATCTGAAATAAGGCAAACATGCTTTTTTTCTATTTGCAGTCAGTTTGTCATCCTAATTTCACACACTATACACATCTTTCACAGTGGCAGTTCAGAATGAGACTCCCTAGAGATTTAAAATGAAAAAAAAGAAGAAGAGAGGAAAACTTGGCTAGTCTCAGCACACTTTCTACAGCAATTATTTACTCACTCCGTCAGAGTGCTGGCGAAATAATATCAGCCCTGACTTGCCTGCCACATGGAAACCAACTGAGGTAGAAGTTCCTTCTGATGACTTGTGATCTCTCCATATGACCACTGTATCATATGGATGTCTGCTTGGAATGATTTCTAGGGGGTAGCTGGGTTAGTCTTTGGCAGGAAAAATAAGCAAGAATATTGTAGCGTCTTAAGAATACCACATTTTATTGGGCAATAAGAGGTAGGAGCTCTGAACATGATTGCTGGCCTGTGTTCAGAGTTTCCTCCTTTCAGGACATATCTTCCTCTTTTCAACCCTGGAACATGTGATGAGTTCTGTGCCTCTCAATGCTCGAAAAGAGGCTGAAGTGTCCTACCAGGGGGAAGTTTCTTAATGTGATAAGGTGGTAATAGTGCGATGAAATTTTCTGAACAGGGGCAGACAGCAAAATAAAGACCATGGGGGAGGGGTTTAACCCTTCCCTTGTTGTTGTTGTTGATTTGTTCAGTGCCTTCTGACTCTTTGTGACCTCATGGACCAGCCCACACCAGAACTCCATGCTGGCCTTCGCCAACTCCAGCTCCTTCAAGGTCAAGCCAGTTACTTCAAAGATGCCATCCATCCATCTTGTCCTTGGTCAGCCCTTCTTCCCTTTTCCTTCCATTTCCCCCAGCATAATTATCTTCTCTAGGCAAATCCCAGCAACTACAACTCCCAAATGACAAAATCATCATCAACAACAACAATGTTTATTGATTAGCCAGTTGGCCTTATCAAAAACAGACAGTGCAAACACAACATACAACATAGAACATACGTCTGGTCCTATTAAAATAGAATACAAATATATAGGAATTTATCAACTTAAAACCAATGTAGCTTAGCCGTAGATATATGCATCAACTATCCTCATCTCCCCTACACTGCAACCCAATCTCATCTATGTACTCCGATCTCCGTTTAGCAGCTTTAAACAAATAAAGGGCAATTTTTGTTGTCAGAATGGGGTTATAACCAGCCAACAAAAATGAAGTTTTGGCTGCTGTATCCTAACTTCTTTTATTGCAAATAAAAGGCCGTAAGTATTGTTTCCTTTCTTTTTCATATAGATTGCAGTGATGTAAAGTGTGGTTCTGATTTTTGACTTCAGGGGCACCACAGATACATAGCCTTTCTTCATATGGGATATGATTGAATCTGCCATGTCTTTCCATGGATTCAGTTTGTTCAAATCTTGCCCTGGTAAAAGCAATACTTAGGTGTCTTGGCATATCAGCTTTTCAGTGATGGTCACTCCTTGGGTTAGTAGGTGTCTTGTGTCCAAATTTGGTGTCAATTCGCCCAGTGGTTTTTGAGTTATGTTAATCCCACAAACAAAACATTACATTTTTATTTATATGTTGTTGTTCATTCATTCAGTCATTTCCAACTCTTCGTGACTTCACGGACCAGTCCACGCCAGAGCTCCCTGTTGGTCGTCACCACCCCCAGCTCCTTCAAGGTCAATCCAGTCACTTCAAGGATGCCATCCATCCATCTTGCCCTGAGCGACCCCTCTTCCTTTTTCCTTCCATTTCCCCCAGCATTATTGTGTTCTCTAGGCTTTCCTTTCTTCTCATGATGTGGCCAAAGTACTTCATCTTGGCCTCTACTATCCTTCCCTCCAATGAGCAGTCAGGCTTTATTTCCTGAAGTATGGACTGGTTGGATCTTCTTGCAGTCCAAGGCACTCTCAGCACTTTCCTCCAACACCACAGTTCAAAAGCATCCATCTTCCTTCACTCAGCCTTCCCTATGGTCCAGCTCTCACATCCATAGGTGACTATGGGGAATACCATTGCTTTAACTATGCGGATCTTTGTTGCCAGTGTGATGGCAACTCTTCACTATTTTATCAAGATTGGGCATTGCTCTCCTCCCAATAAGTAAGTGTCTCCTGACTTCCTGGCTGCAGTCTGTGTCTGAAGTAATTTTTGCACCTAGAAATACAAAGTCTGTCACTGCCTCCACGTTTTCTCCCTCTATTTCCCAGTTGTCAATCATTTTTGTTGCCATAATCTTGGTTTTTTTTATGTTTAGCTGCAACCCAGTTTTTGCGCTTTCTTCTTTCACCTTGATTAGAAGGCTCCTCAGCCCCTCTTCGTTTTCAGCCATCAGAGTGGTGTCATCTGCATATCTAAGGTTGTTAATGTTTCTTCCAGCAATTTTCACCCCAGCTTTGCATTCCTCAAGCTCCGCACATTGCATGATGTGTTCTGCATACAAGTTAAAAAGGTTGGGTGAGAGTATGCAGCCTTGCCGTACGCCTTTCCCAATCTTGAACCAGTCTGTTCAAGATTGGGAAAGAACCAGTCTGTTCAAGATTGGGAGTTGTAGGTGAACTACAACTCCAAAATTCAAGGTCAATGCCCACCAAACCCTTCTAGTGTTTTCTGTTGGTCATGGGAGTTCTGTGTACCAAATTTGGCTCAATTCCATCGTTGGTGGAGTTCAGAATGTTCTTTGAATGTAGGTTAACTATAAATCCCTGCAACGACAACTCCCAAATGCCAAAATCAAAATTGTTTGAGTGAAGGACATACATTGGCTTGTTAGGTGTATGCTGTCCAAATTTGGTGTCAATTCGTCCAGTGGTTTTTGAGTTCTGCTAATCCCACAAACGAACATTACATTTTTATTTATTTTATTTATATTATTTAGATAGATCGATAGATCGATAGATAGATAGATAGATAGATTGATAGGATAGGAAACCGAGGCACCTTTCCCCCTTTCCCTGTGATTTTTCTTTCAGGAGTGAATTTCCCTTCCTAGGGGTAGGTTTCTCTCCCTTCCTGTTGCTTCAACCTCGCTCTTAAGTGAGATGCTTGCAAGTGGGATGTTTGTAACTCGGGGAGAGCCTCAGAGAAGCAGAGGAGGGAGAGCGAGAGGGCTGGGGGAATCCCTCCGGAAGGATCCCCTCTCCTGCCTGCTTTCGGGCATCCCTTGCTTTGGGCGGCCAAGCGGAGAACCCTCCCCTGCCTGCCTGCCTGCCTTCCTGCTGGTGGGGGCAGCGCCGGGCTCCTCCTCTTTCTCCTCGTTGCCTTCCCGGGCTGCTTCCTTCACTCGCGGCGTCCTGGCGGGGTCTCGGCGGGCGCTGTCTGCGGCGGTGGCGGGGCTCTGGCATGGACTCGCTCCTCAGCGCCGCGCCGCACTCGCTGCTACCTTCGCGGGGAGAGAGGGAGCCCACACCCGGCGGACAGACCTCTTTCCCGGTCCGTCCCAGCTGAAGCAGGCTTGCCCATGGCACTCGGCGCCCGGCTCTGAAGCCCCCTCCGCTTCGTGGCCTCTCCTCTCGGGACCGAACCATGCGGGAGCTCGCCCTCGAGGTCGGCGTCCGCGTCCTGCTCTTCGGCGTCTTCGTGTAAGTGGCCCAACTTCCCCCTCTTGCTCTCTGCCTTCCTTTCCCTCTCTCAGGTGGGTCGCTCCCAGCATCTCCTCCCAGCCTCAACTTCGGAGAGAGCTTTGGCTGCGGCTCAGCCGAGAGTTTATTTCTTCAAGGCTTTCAAGCTCACCCCAGAGTTATAAAGGGGAGCGATGGATTCAGAGAGGCTGGGTTGCTTCCTTCTCGCCCTAGAGTTTATTTTTCACTGTATTCAAGCTCGCCCCATAGTTGTAAAGGCGAGCTGAGGAGGGAGAGAAGCTGGGTTGCCTCTCGCCCTAGAGTTGATTATCCAATGTGTTCAGACTATAGCTTATTCTTTCAATGTGTTCAAGCTCACCCCATAGTTATAATGGGGAGCTATGGATAGAGAGTTTCATTGTGTTCAAACTATAGCTTATTTTTCCAATGTGTTCAAGCTCGCCCCATAGCTGTAAAGGGGAGCTGAAAAAGGAGCGAGTCTGTGTTGCCTCTCACCCTAGAGTTGATTATCCAATGTGTTCACACTATAGCTTATTCTTTCAATGTGTTCAAGCTCACCCCATAGTTATAATGGGGAGCTATGGATAGAGAGAGAGAGTTTAGGTTGCCTCTAACCCTATAATGGATTATTCATTGTGTTCAAACTATAGCTTATTTTTCCAATGTGTTCAAGCTCACTCCATAGCTGTAAAGGGGAGCTGAAGAAGGAGAGAGTCTGGGTTGCCTCTCACCCTAGAGTTGATTATCCAAATGTGTTCACACTATAGCTTATTCTTTCAATGTGTTCAAGCTCACCCCATAGTTATAATGGGGAGCTATGGATAGAGAGAGAGAGTTTAGGTTGCCTCTAACCCTATAATGGATTATTCATTGTGTTCAAACTATAGCTTATTTTTCCAATGTGTTCAAGCTCCCCCCATAGCTGTAAAGGGGAGCTGAAGAAGGAGAGAGTCTGGGTTGCCTCTCACCCTAGAGTTGATTATCCAATGTGTTCAGACCATAGCTTATTCTTTCAATGTGTTCAAGCTCACCCCCTAGTTATGGGGCTATGGACAGAGAGAGGTTGGGTTGCCTCTAACCTTATAATGGATTATTCATTGTGTTCAAACTATAGCTTATTTTTTCAATGTGTTCAGGCTCGCCCCATAGTTCTAAAGGGGAGCTTAGAATGGATAGAGACTGGGTTGCTTCTCACCCTAGGGTCTATTTTTCAATATATTCAAGTTCACCCCATAGTTGTAACGGGGAGCTATGAATGGAGAGAGGTTGGGTTGCTTCTTGCCCTAAAGTCTATTTTTAATGTATTCAAACTATAGATTATTTTTTCAATGTGTTCCAGTTCACCCCATAGTTGTGAAGAGGAGCTAAGGATGGAGAGAGGTTGGGTTGTGTCTAACCCTAGAGTTGATTACTCAGTCTGTACAAACTATAGCTTACGTCTGGTATTCATGCTAGCCCCAATATGGAGAGAGGTTGGGTTGCTTCTCACCCTAGAGTCTATTTTTCAATGTATTCAAGTTCACCCCATAATTGTAAAGGGGAACTAAGTATGGAGAGAGATTGGGTTGCTTCTCATCCTGGAGTCTATTTTTCAAAGTATTCAAACATTACTTTATTTTTCAATGTGTTCAAGCTCACCTCATAGTTCTAAAGGGGAGCTAAGGACAGAGAGAGATTGGGTTGCCTCTCACCCTAGTGTTGATTATTCTATGTGTTCAAACTATAGCTTCCCATGTGTTCAAGCTTGCCCTATAGTTCTATAGGGGAGATAACCATATAGAGAGTTTGGGTTGCTTCTCACCCTAGAGTCTATTTTTCAGTGTATTCAAGTTCACCCCAAAGTGTGTAAAGGGAAGCTAAGGCTGGAGAGAGTTTGAGTTGCTTCTCACCCTAGAGTTTATTTTTCAATGTGTTCAGGTTCACCCCATAGTTATAATGGGAGCCAGGGGTGGATAGAGTCTGGATTGCCTCTCACCTTAGAGAGAATTATTCAATGTGTTCAAACTATACCTTAGTTTTTCAATGTGTTCATGCTAACCCCATAGTTGTAAAGGGGAGCTAAGGATGGAGAAAGATTGGGTTGCTTCTCACCCTAGAGTTTATTTTTCAGTGTATTCAAGATAGACCCATAGTTATAAAGGGGATCTAAGGATGGAGAGAGGTTGGGTTGCCTCTAACCCTAGAGTTGATTATTATATATGTTCAAAGCACCCTAGCACACCAGCTGTTAGGAATTGTGGAAGTTGAAGTCCAAAATTCCTGGAGGACCAAAGGTTGGGAACCTGTGCTTAGAGTTTATTTTGAATGTATCCAAGCTTGCTCCATAGTTGTGAAGGCGAGCTGGGATGGAGAAAGGTTGGGTTGCTTCTTACCCTAGAGTTGATTATTCTGTGTGTTCAAAGTATAGCTTATTTTTTCAATGTATTCAAGTTCACACCATAGTTATAAAGGGAGCTAAGGATGGAGAGAGGCTGAGTAGCTTTTCACCCTAGAGTTGATTATTCAATGTATTCAAGTTCACCTCGTCGTGTAAATGGGAGCTAAGGGTGGAGAGAGGTTGGGTTGCTTTTCACCCTAGAGTGGATTATTCAATGTGTTTAAACTATAGTGTATTTTTTCAATGTATTCATGTTAGTCCCATAGTTATTATAAAGGGAAGCTAAGACTGGAGAGAGGTTGGGTTGACTCTCACCCCTGAGTTTATTTTTCAATGTATTCAAGCTCGATCCATAGTTGTAAAGGGGAGCTAAGGATGGAGAGAGGCTAGGATGCCTCTAACCCTAGGTTGGTTATTCAGTGTGTTCAAACGATAGCTTTTTTCATTGTATTCATGCTAGCCCTCTAGTTATGAAAGAGAGCTAAGGATGGAGAGAGGTTGGGTTGCCTCTAACCATAGAGTTATTTATTCATTTTGTTCAAACTATAGCTTATTTTTTCAATGTATTCATGCTAGCCCTGTAGTTGTAAAGGGGAGCTAAGGATGGAGAAAGGCTGGGATGCTTCTTACCCTCGAGTTGATTTTTCAATGTATTCAAGATAAACCCATAGTTGTAAAGGGGAGCTGAAGAGGTTGGGTTGCTTCTCGCCCTAGAGTTTATTTTTCAGTGAGTTCAAACTATAGCTTATTTTTTCAATGTATTCAAGATCATCGTACAGTTGTAAAGGGGAGCTAAGGGTGGAAAGAGGCTAGATTGCTTCTTGCCCTAGAGTTTATTTTTCAATGTATTCAAGTTTGGCCCATAGTTGTAAAGGGGAGCTAAAGGTGAAGAGCAGTTGGGTTGCTTCTTACCTAAGAGTCTATTTTTCAACGTATTCAAGCTCATCCCATAGTTGTAAATGGGAGCTAAGGATGGAGAGAGTTTGGATTGCTTCTGACCCTAGAGTCTATTTTTCAATGTATTCAAACTTGCCCCATAGCTATAAAGGGGAGACAGGTTTGGTTGCCTCTAACCCTCAAGTTAATTTTCCAATGTATTTAAGTTTGGTCCATAGTAATAAAGGGGAGCTAAGAGTGGAGAGAGGTTGGGTTGCCTTTAACCCTAGAGTTGATTATTCAATGTGTTCAAACTATAGCTTTCCCCCCAATGTATTCATGCTAGCCCCATAGTTATAAATGGGAGCAAAGGACAGAGGGAGGTTGGGTTACTTCTAGCCCAAGAGATTATTTTTCTATGTATTCAAATTATATTTGTCTCTTTTGAGAGAGAAAAAAGCAACATGATGATGATGATATACTCAAACTAGCTCCATAGTTATAGTGGGAAAGAAAGGTGGAGAGAGTTTGGGTTGCTGTTCACCCGAGTGTATTTTTCAGTGTATTCAAACTATAGCTTATTTTTTCAATGTATTCAAGCTAGCCCCATAGTTATAAAGTGGAGCTAAAGATGAGGAGAGGTTGGGTTCATTCTAACCCTAGTTTAATTTTCTGTGTGTTTAAAATATATTTGAGTCTCTTCTGAGAGAGAGAGAAAGTAGACTACTACTACTACTACTACTACTACTACTAATATTTTAATGTATTCAGATTAGCCCTATGTAGGAGCCCCCAGTGGTGCAATGGGTTAAACCCTTGTGCTGGCAGGACTGCTGACTGAAAGGTTAGCGGTTCAAATCGGGGGTGTGGGGCGAGCTCTTGTCTGTGAGCTCCAGCTTCCCATGTGGGGACATGAGATAAGCCTCCCATAGGATGGTAAAACATTTGGGCACCCCCTGGGCAAAATCTTTGCAGATGGCCAATTCTCTCACACCAGAAGTGACTTGCATTTTCTCAAGTCACTTCTGACATGAAAAAAAGCCCTATGTAGGGGGAAGGAAAGGTGGTGGAGATTGGGTTGCTGCTAATCCTAGAGTTTATTTTTCGATGTGTTCAAACTATAGTTTTTCCCCCCAGTGTATTCAAGCAAGCCCATAATTATAAAGGGAGCTGAGGATGGAGAGATGTTGAGTTGCTGCTCACTCTAGAGTTTATTTTTCAATGTGTTCAAACTATATTTGTGTCTCTTTTGAGAGAGAGAGAAAAAAGTGGAATACTGGTACTATTATTACTTTTAATGTTGTTAAACAAGCCCTATTGTTGTAGGGGAAAGAAAGGGTGGAGTATATTTCACTATTTTACTATTTATTCGGAGTATATTTCAGTCCCTTTTGAGAAAAAGAAAAAACTTGGGTTGTTATCATAATTGTTGCCATCGTCACTATAATAATCAGTAACATGATCTGGATTCAATCTACTCCTATAATTGTGGGCAGTGAGGGATGCAGGTACTCCTGTGATGTCTTTTCCTTGTCAACATGGCCAGATAATTGGAATCCTTCCCCACTTAAAAGATGTTCAAGAGCACACTAGTTCTTCCTTTCTCAACCTGTAACCTTTTTTATTTAACTCCCTTCTTCAGCCTGTTGTGAAGAGAAATGCACTCTGCACACACTCAAAAGTACCTTCCTAAATTATATTACCTTAGGTGCCACCAGAACTGAGTCCTGGTGTTAAGAGGGAGACT